AGTCGTCGCAGTAGTAGTAGTAGTAGTAGTAGTAGTAGTAGTAGTAGTAGTAGTAGTAGTAGTAGTAGTAGTAGTAGTAGTAGTAGTAGTAGTTGTCGTCGTCGTAGTAGTAGTAGTAGTAGTTGTAGTAGTTGTTGTAGTAGCGGCAGGAGGAGGCGGAGGAGGAGGAGGATGGAAGAGAAGGATGATGAGAATAATAATGCCGACGACAGGGCTTTGTTCAAGACGCGGACCCCACACAGGACTGTTGACAACAAAGGGAGGATTAGGAAGAGGAGGATCGGGAGGTGGGAATGCTGATGATTGTGATGATTCTGATGCTGATAATGACGATGATGGTGATGATGCAGATTATCATTCTGATGATAGTGATCAGGATGATGATGACAATGGTGATGACGGTGATGATGAGGATCATGTTACGGATGATGATGATGATGATGATGATGATGATGATGAGGAGGAGGAGGAGGAGGAGAAGGAACAGGGAGAGGATGAGGAGGATGAGGAGGATGTGCGCAGCGCTGCGAACTCAGAGCGACAGACCCAACGCATAGGATGGTTGGGAAAACAGAAGGGGAGGCCGAGGTCGAGGCCGATCGCGCACCACACCCTCCTCCTCCCCCTCCTCCTGCTTCTCCTCTCTTCTTCCTCTTGTTCGTCGTCCTCCTCCTCCTCCTGCTACTCCTGCTTCTCCTCCTCTCCTCCTCCTCCTCCTCCTCCTCCTCCTCCCTTGCCTGCTTGCTTGCCTCCTGGTCCGATCAGTGTTTCCTTCGCCCTTCCCAAGGAGCTGATGGCGGTGTCGGACGGCGCCGGCTGGAGCGTCCAGTGGGTCATCGGCTGGGTGAAAAAAACCTGTCGTCCAAGAGGGGCCAGGTTAGAGCTAGGGGAGGCTGTAGGGTTCCTGCTGTTTCCTCCGTCCCTGCTCGCTTCTCGCTCCTCCATCTCTCCTCCATCCTGCCTCTCCGATCCTCCCTCTCGCCGTCGACGTCATCCTGGTCGTCGTCGTCGCCGTCGTCGCCGTCGTCGTCGTCGTCGTCGTCGTCGTCTTCGTCGTCGCCGTCGTCGTGGTCGTCATCGTCGTCGTTGTCGTCGCTGTCGTCGCCGCCGTCACCATTCCCTCCTCGGTGTATTATCATATGCCTACCTCCCCCTCTTCCCTCCTCCTTCCCCTCCTCGTTCCCTGTCCTCCCCTCGTCCTCGTCATCGTCGTCGTCCTCCTCCTCCTCCGCTTTCTTGCGCGCTCTCCCTGTCCCTACACTGATGTATTTTTACACAGGATTGTGCACAATTGTCCTTGCATATCTGTTGTTCCCAACCATCCATTGGTTGGGTTCTCGTTTTGCATAGAACGGTGGGGTCGCCGACTCCCTTCTCCTTCTCCTCCTTCTCTCCTCCTCCCCCCTCCCCCGCTCTCCTCTCGGTTTTCTCCTCTCGCATCCCTCGTGTGGGCTGCGAAGTGTGAAAATGTCGTCATTTCCGAAGTCTGCTGGGGGAGCCCGTACAGTGAGGTCCCACGTAGACGGAAACGGGACCTCGCCATCCCTGGGGGGGCTGCGAAGTGTGAAACCTGTCATGACTTTCGATGGCTGCTGGGGGGTGGCAGTACAGTGGGGCCCCACGTAGACTCAAACGGGACCTCGCCATCCCCGGGTGGGCTGCGAAGTGTGAAACTGTAGCCACTTTCGAGGGCTGCTCGGGGGGGCCAGCACAGAGGGGTTCCACGCAGACCCAGCCGTTACCTCGCCATCTCTGGGGGGCAGCTGCGAAGTGTGAAATTGTCGCCTTTTTCGAGGGCTGCTGGGGGGTGGCAGCACAGTGGGGCCCCACGCAGAGCCAAAGGGACCTCGCCGTCCCTGTGGGGCTGCGAAGTGTGAAACTGTCGCCTTTTTCGAGGGCTGCTGGGCGGTGGCAGCACAGTGGGGCCCCACGCAGAGCCAAACGGGACCTCGCCGTCCCTGGGGGGCTGCGAAGTGAGAAACTGTCGCCACTTTCGAGGGCTGCTGGGGAGGCCAGGGGACCTCCGCCATCCCTGGGGTTGGGGGGGGTGCTGCGAAGTGTGAAACTGTCGCCACTTTCGAGGGCTGCTGGGGGTGGCAGCACAGAGGGGTCCCACGCAGTCCTCGATGGCCTCGCCATCTCTGGGGGGCGGGCTGCGACGTGTGAAACCGTCGCAGCTTGCTGCTGGGTTGCGCAACCCAGTGGGGTCCCACGCAGATCTGGAGGAGGAGGAGCGGGGGGGCGGAGAGGGAGGAGGATGAGAGAGAGGCGGAGGACAAGGCGGCGGAGGAGGCGACGATGAGGAGGAGTGGGATGAGGAGGAGGAGGAGGAGGAGGAGGAGGAGGAGGAGGAGGAGGAGGAGGAGGAGGACGAGGAGGAGGAGTAGGACAAGAGGAGGCAGTAGCGCCATCATCTTGCTGCTTCTGCCGAGGTGATTGTTCTTCCACCCCAATGTTTTCCTTTTGCCTTCTCCTTCCCAGAACTATGCCTCCTGGCCTTTTGTACCTCTGTTCTGCGAGTCGGCCACGCACACTTCGCACGATACAGATGACCGCCGTGCACTACCTCTTGCAGTGTTGCTGTCGCACTATTGTCAGCATACCTTATAACATCCCTTGGTGCCGATGGGTTGGATACGTCGCAGGGTAATTTTCAAGCTGACTGCTTGGGGCTTTTCAGAATGGTGTCCCTCTGCAGCGTGGCAACGTGGGCCTCATTTTCAGATCAGCGATTTGCCCCCGTCGTTGAGAATAAGCGCTCTCGCCCCGGCGCGGGCCACTTTTCTGGCTCGAGTCGTTTTGTCCATCTTGATCGCCCCCGTGCAATGCGGTGCCCGAAACGGGAGTTCGCCACGCGAGCATGCGGTACGACCTTACTAGTGGCGAAACACATCCCCCGCGACGCGCTCTGGTCGACCTACCTACCACTGCCCCCCCATGCAGGGAAGGACAGTTGGAATTCTCATCACGTCGAGGGCAGTCGACTTTCGCACATTCGCAGCTCACTTTGCGCCAACACATGTGAAGACACAGCAGGAGATCGCTACCATAACGACAGATTGGATGGAGGGGATTTTTGATAGACTAGGTTGCAGCACCAAGGTGGAGGAGGAGCTGGCGACAGCGACGGCTCTATTTAAGCAGCCCAGAAAAGACGCGGACAAGTGTACGGATAGATAAACCAGCCGAAGAAATTAGACAGGGGAGGACCATCAGAGACAATATTTCAGCAACGTGTGCAAGCTGCGGGTTTAGTATCAGAAAAGAAGAGGCCCAAACAAAGATATATGACTTCTCTGCAGAGACCATCTCTGCAGAGACCCACAGGGGTGTGGACACATGGCTAGCGGAACAACAAGAACCACCCGCGGAATGAGGAATTGCGGCAAACAGATCAAGGTTGAAGGGTTCGAAAACGAATGTAGGCACATATCCGGCGTGCAGGACGAACTCCCAGTGGCTGCAAGGGTCATGGGTTTGAGTGGGATCGGACAAACAGCGGATGCTGAAATGTGGCAGATGACTTGCCAAGCGACGGGCTTGGCCGAGATGGGGCGTACCATTCGAGCTGGCGTGGATGGCGCCCGACGCGCGGTACATTTCGAGCACCCGGACAAAGTTGAGCCGACAGATCGAATATATGAGGATCAGAGCAGCGGAGAACGGGACGGACGAGGAGGCTGTTTCATATTATTCTTTTTCGCATTCAAGCCGGGGGGGAGAATGATGATGGCCGTGGGGAAACTGGGAAAGCAAGAAGGACTTCTCGACGGGGCGGACTTGGAACCACGCGCTGCTATCAACTTTTTGAGGGACGCCAGCAAGGACATGTTTGGGTACCAAACGTATAGGATGAGACGACGAGGGGGGCCCGATGGGGATGGCATGGCGCTGGGGCTTGCACAAGAGAGGCCCACAGCCAGGCCACCTCAGCTGGGCGCGGGGAGGTTTGGCACATGGGCGCAGAGAGAATGCGATGTTCTACTTCTTGGCAGGACTGGAGGGCAGAGCAACATGGTGCGCGTGCCATTCGTAGCAACTACGACTGCCCCAACGCATTCGCAATCACAAAACGAGGGCTCCTCAATGCGTTTTCGTCGAGGTCGCCACACCAGAGGACCAACCCGTTTCTCTGCGTGCGATCAGCAAGACAACGATGGATGGACATGCGGTGTGCAGACGGATGGTTGCACGCAGGGACGACGCGAGGGGCGCAATCGGGGGGCTTCACTCGCTGCCCAAGACAGTTTGAACACGTTTACAACGTATGCCTGGCCATATGGTTACGCGGCGAGAGAGAGATGCATGCCCATCCTACAGACGGAATGACGCTACAAACCTTATCGCAGGGGAAGCTTACGTCATCTCAGTCAAGTGCGCTCATTTGCGAAATTGCTTGGACGCGCATCACCCCGCAACCGCAAGCAGCATCACATATCACGAAAATGCTAAACGACACGGGCAGATACGGTCAATGTGTGCCATGCAGCGGGGGCGTGCAAACTCAATTGGCAGGGTGACGACGGGAACGGGGAGGTAATCTCATCTACATGATAAGCCTTCTGCCGTGCGCACGAGCGGCCGTGGATAACTTAACGCTGACGGACGAGGAGCCAGAGATGTTGGACGATGACCCACCACTATATTTCAAGCAAGCCCCGGGGCACGTGTTCCAGCGGCTGAACGGAGGCGCGTCCCAGGACCTTGGACAGAGCTGGAACGAGCTGTGCAACGCCAGCTCCAGCGCGAGACAAAGTAGACCATTCAGGTGGCACCGCTAGTGCAGCAGACGCCGATCAAGCCAGTGCCTCACAGCCAAACGAGCCTGGAAGGAACAAATGCCAAACGAAATAAGCAAGGGGGGCGGCCCCAGGCGACTTCCAACACTAAAAGAGCTATCATGCAAACGTGAAAGAAGCAAGGAACTATGTCAAAGGGCTTTACATTATGTTACGAACAGGTGAACTCAGACAACGTATGGACACCTGGGAACGGGAGGAAAACAACAAGGAACGAGCACGACGGGGACGACAACTATTATTTCTACAGGTACGACAATGGGACCACATGAACTACCTTCTCTTCTACGGATGACGCAGCCCCCCCTCCCTAGCCCCCCCCCTCCCTTCATGACAACGGCGAGCAATCGCGTGGTATATTTGTTGCCCCTCCCCCTCAGGCCCGAGCTGGCGTGTCGCGAGAGTCCCCAGAGGGCCCCGGGAGGCGAGGGGGGAAAGAGACGAACTCGCCACCGCCCACCACCGACACCAGCATGCTACCAGAGGGGAGGACGAGGCGGAGGAGGGGCTCCTGTCTTCCCCCCTCAGCTGGCCCCTTCAGCCTCTCCTCCACCCAAGACGGCTCGGTTTCACCTGTGTGTGAAGCCCGCTCATATCACCATTATATCATCACGTACCGCTGACGCATCGGCTCAGGTATTGGTGCACACGCCGCGCTGCTCTCCGCGCAGCGCCATGGAAGAGGAGTGGCTAACCTCTTCCTCGATCACCTCTACCAGCGGACAACTGTCTGGGATCCCCATATGCGCACCACCGGCCCCGGACCCTCGGCCGATTCGCACTTCGACTCGCGGTTCGACCCGCCCTCCCGGCCGAGGCCGTCGACCTGCACAGGCTGTGCACGAAGAACCGCTGCGGCGACGCGAAAGGCTTCACGCTGCCGCTGCACGGCCGACAGGCGGCACGCGGCAGGAACACAGTGGAGGAGGAGGAGGAGGAGGAGGAGGAGGAGGGAAGGAATGACGGGGGGGAGGGAGGGAGGCAGGAAGGGAGGGAGGTCGGGAGGGAGGGAAAAGGAGGAAGAGGAGGAAGATCCGGCGCAGGAGGAGGAGGAGGACGAGGAGGAGGAGGAGTAGGAGGAGGAGGAGGAGGAGAAGGGGGAGGATGGGGAGTACAGCTCAGACTGCTTCTTTCCCTGCGTGTCGCTCCTCGCTGCGGAGAGTGGGTCGCGACACGTGTTGGTGAAGACTGCTTCGTCGCTCGAGAATGTGGATGGGGGAATGGGGAAGAGGAGGAGGAGGAGAAAGAGGAGGAAGACGCGGAGGAATCATGATGATCAGAAGGGGGACATCGGAGTTGGGGATGATGACGATGCGGAAGCTGATGATAGTGATTGTGATGATCGTGATGATCGTGATGCTCGTGATGGTGATGATGATGATGCTGATGATGGTAATGATGATGATGATGATGATGATGATGATGATGATGATGATGATGATGATGATGATGATGATGATGATGATGATGATGGTAGTGGTGGTGGTTTGGTGGTCGTGGTGATGATGCTGCTGATGATGAATCTCACTGTCAGGGTGATTGGTGGTGATAAAGGTGATGGTGACCGTGGTGTTGGCGCAGACGATGTCATTTTTGTTAATTGCGAGCATGGTGGTGAAGACAATAGGGACTATGATGACCATGATGTGGATGACGATGATGCTGATGATGATGATGCTGATGCTGATGGTGATGATGGTTATTATGATGATGCTGATGATGCTGATATTGATGCTGCTGTTATTTTTGTTTATGACGACGATGTATTGCTGACGACGATGAGGATGCTGTTGGTGATGATGACGACGACGATTATCATGTTCATTATTCTGATGATGCTGATGATGCTGATGATGACAACGATGGTGCTGGTGATGCTGATGCTAATCATGGCGGCGGAACTTGTGAACGTGATGTTTTTATGACGATTGTCAGGCTCGAAATAATGACATGAAGACGACGATGACTATGAATATGATGATGCTGATGATCATGATGAGTACGATGATGATGATGATGAGGTGAAAATGATGATGATGCTGATGATGACGATGATGATATGGATGATGATGGTGATGATGATGATGATGATGATGACGACGATTATCATTATGATGATGATGCTTATGACGATGCTGATGGTACTAATGATGATGGTGATGATGGTGATGATGATGCTGAAGCTGAGGCTGAGGCTGAGGCTGAGGCTGAGGCTGAGGCTGCTGCTGATGATGATGCTGCTGCTGACGATGACGATGCTGCTGGTGATGATGCTGATGATGCTTATGACGATGATGATGAGGATGATGATGCTGCTCATGATGATGCTGATGATGGTGGTGGTGGTGGTGCTGATTGTGATGGTGGTGTTGATGATGATGTTGTTGTTGGTGGTGGTGTTGATGGATGATGATGATGTTGATGATGATGATGATGATGATGATGATGATGATGCTGATGCTGATGCTGATGTTGATGATGATGATGATGATGATGCTGACGATGATGATGATGATGATGATGATGATGAAGATGCTGATGTTTCTGCTGCTGCTGATGATGATGCTGATGACGATGATGATTCTGGGCCAGGGGGAGGAAGAGGATGATGCTGATGATGCTGATGATGATGCTGCTGCTGCTGATGATGATGATGATGATGCTGATGATGATGATGATGATGATGATGATGACGACGATGATGATGATGATGATGATGATGATGATGATGATGATGATGATGATGATGATGATGATGATGATGAGGGGAGAGGAGGAGGAGGAGGAGGAGGAGGAGGAGGAGGAGGAGGAGGAGGAGGAGGAGGAGGAGGAGGAGGAGGCGGACGAGGAGGCGGTGCAGGAGGTGGGTGAGAGATGATCGATGTTTTCTCACGCTTTTGGGACGCTGCGAGGTTTTTGGGGGCCTCTGGAGGCATCCAGGAACCTGCGGGGACCTCCAGGGACCCGAGCAGGCCTCTGGAGGCCTCCTTCTTCGGAGGAGGTCTTCGTGGGGCTGCTATCGCCATGGCTTGGCGGACGCAGCTCGAAGAGTTGGGCAGAAGGGTGTCGGGGAGGGTCTGGGAACTGATTGTGTGAGCATGGCCATCCGCCAGATTTCCATGTACCCCGACGATATTCGGCGTTGCGGAATGGGGGGGCGACAACGGTGCCCTTTTTGTGCCCCAAAGGGGGCCTAAAGGGGCCCCCTGCGGCCCCAAAAGGGACAAGAAAGGTGCACGTTTCTCCCCCATTGAATCGCCCCCCGAAAAGGCAACGCCCGAACGAAACAATAATAGCAATCTGTTTTTGTTACGTTTTTTGGCGATCTTGGTCTCCGGAGGTCCATTCTCGGGCCCCCGCGTGCCAGTTTGCCCGCAATGGAAAAAGCTGACCCCAGGGGATGGGGCCGAGAGCGCGGCTGAGCGGATATCTCCCGCCAGAGGCGGTCCAGAAGCTCTGAGCGCTTCCCGTCCTCTTACGGTCCACAACTTTTGGATCGGGTGTCGCTTCGTTGGTTCTGGCCCACCACGCCTCTGAGCGACACGCTACCCATTTTTTGGCCGCCCAGCGTCAACATCCTGGGCTTTTCCGAGCCTCTCGCCCGGCGGGGCGGAGCGACACGCTATCCGCTCGCAAGGCATAGCGCGTCGCCGGGGCCGCCGCCGCGACAGGCTGAGCAGAAGTCCCTGACCGCAGGCCGCCCGGGCCCAGGGTCGGCCGTGCAAGGATCGGTGAGGCGGATCGCTGCCGTCGTCCTATCCTGGGAGGGCCGCCCTCCCGGCCTCGAAGACGAGCTCGAAGGGTCGCCGTCCTGTCCTGGGGGATGAGCTGTAAGTCGGGCCTGTCCCCCCACAGGAGGATTTTTGACGAAAACAAAAAATACACCAAACATACCCCCAAATGGTCAAACAAGATTCAAAACAATAGTCCCCAGACTATTTTTGGATTCTGTCTGGACTATTTTTGGGGTATGTCTAACTCTTCGTCGAACATCCCCCCTGTAGGGGGAGAGGCCCGACTCAAGACGAGCTGTGAGTCTAAGCTGCCTCGGCGGGCGCTGGGCCCGCAGGGCCACGCCTGCGGGGCTGGGCCCGCCTGCCTGCGCGGGGCGTGGCACGAGGGCGCGCAGGTCTGCCTCCCTCCCTCCCCTCTCACCGTCTCTCCCTTCCGCCCTCCTCATCCCAGGCTCCTCCTCCTCCCAGGCTCCTCCTCCTCCTCCTCCTCCTCCTCCTCATCTGCTCGTCCTTCCTACTCCTATGCTCCCTATGCTCCTCCTCCACCCTCCTCGCCCTCTGCCTCCTCACCCTCTCTCTCTGTCCCATCTCCTCCTCCTCCTCCTCCTCCTCCTCCTTCCCCTCCCTCCTCCGTTCTCCTTCCTTCCATCCCCTCCTCTTTCTCCTCCTCCTCCTCCTCCTCCCCCTTCTCCCCTTTCTCCTCACCCCTCTATTCTTCTCTTCTGCTGCTGTCCTCTGTATCCTCCTCCATCGCTCTTCCCTATACATAACTCTTCCATGTCGCACCCCCGAACGAGTCGGTTTCGCGGGCCGGGCGTTTCGCCTGAGACTTCGTGATTTATGATCCTGAAGCTGGGACTTTGCAACAGTTTCACAGATGGAGGGGGTCGTTTTCAAAATGTGGTTCTCGCCATAGCGCCGCGCACATTAGTCTTCAAAGTTCGCAGCAGTCTCAAGGGTGGAAGAGGGGGGGTCGTTTTCAAAATGTTCGCCGTAGCGCCGCACGCATTAGTCCTGAAAGTTTGCAGTTTCAAGGTTGGATGTGAGCGGGGGACGTTTTCAAAATGTGGCTCTCGCCACAGCGCTGCGCGCACTCGTTTTGAACATTGCAGCGCTTCTCGGGGTGGAGGGCTACGTATTCTTTTTCAGGATGTGACTCTCGCGTGAGCGCTGCGCGCATTCGTTTTGCACGTTTGCAACATTTTCACGGATGGAGTTCTTGTCTATACGAAAACGTCCTTTGGCGCGTACCGGTCGTTGCCCGCCCCCCCGCCCCGGTTCACGACAACGATCGTGCGTTGGAGTGGGGACCCCCCCACATATTGATACCCGAAGGCATGGCTTGCTGTGCTGCTCAAATGTATGGTGCGCTTCTGACATGTTCACGCCGCCTCAGCGCTACCGTTGCCTGGGGCCCCAGGCCCCCCCCCCCGCCGCGTAACAATAATTCTCCGAAATAATCGAAGA